CAGGCGCCCGTCAGCGACGGCACGGTGGAGGCGCGGGCCACGCTCACGTGGACGCTGAACCCCCAGATCGACAACGAGGCGCTCTTCAGCTGTGAGGTGAAGCACCCGGCGCTCTCCATGCCCATGCAGGCCGAGGTGACCCTCGGTAAGCGGTGGCCGCGGAGCCCTCGGGACGGCCGGGTGTGCTCTGGGGTCCATCGACTGGCGGGGGGGCCCACGGCCGGGTGCAGTAAGGGGGCGGCCTTCCACGGAACTGTCCCCTTGGCCAGCCCCAGCACTGCCAGGTGCGGTACGGGGTACGAAGGGTGTCAGCAGGGCAGGGCTATTTGTGGTGAGGAGTCTGGGCCCAGGTCCAGGCCTAGGTCTAGATTCAGATCTGGGTTTAGGTCTAGGTCTAGGTTTAGGTCCAGCGGAACTGTCCCCTTGGCCAGCCCCAGCACTGCCAGGTGCGGTACGGGGTACGAAGGGTGTCAGCAGGGCAGGGCTATTTGTGGTGAGGAGTCTGGGCCCAGGTCCAGGCCTAGGTCTATGTTCAGATCTGGGTTTAGGTCTAGGTCTAGGTTTAGGTCCAGGTTAATTCCAGGTCCAGATCCACTTCCAGGTCTTGGTCTAGGTCCAGGTCAACAGGGAACTAGGGCTGCAAAGTTGGGGGGAGGCATTTGGGGTTCTGCTCTCTGTGTTTGGTTGGTCTTTGTCTTGGTTTTCTGCAGACCAAGGGGTAGGAGGTCCCTTGTTAGTTATCTCCTTTGGGTGGTCGTAGTGGTGGTCTCCTGGACAGGCTCACATCTTGGGGGGTCCTTCACCCTCACAGAGATGTCCTCTCCAACCATCCGCACCTGGTCCCAGGAGAGCGAGGCCATGCCAGGAGCCTCCCTTGGAGGCAGCGAGGCCAGACAGATATGCTCCAATCAATGGGTTTGTTGGCCAGCACCACCCTGTTATTCCACCTGGGGTGCTGCCAAGGGGCCAGGCCACCCCTGAACGGGGACAGCCCATAGGACCGATGAGGTCCTGGCCATGATAGGGCACAAAGGGCCGAGACACCGCATCTCTGCCCACCCGCTCTACGGACTTCTCCCTACACCCACCCCCAAAACTGTCCGGGTCCTGCACTTGGCACGCACCCAGTTCCAAGTTCCAGTTCCAAGGCACCCAGCACCCCCACTGTGGCACCTCCAAAAACCCGCGATAGAGAAGCTTGCCCCATTCTAACCCCCCAGTTGAGCCATGGACACTGCCTTCCTCATCCCCTAGGATGCCTCCAGCCCATGTGTTCTTCCAGGAGGTGCTCACCGTCCACCCACACAATTTGGGCAGAACCACAGGGCTCCCCATCCCCATCCGGATGCGTTGAGCTCTCCTCTTCCCAGAAAAAGGCAGAGCATGGTGTTGAACCCAACACAAACCAGTTGCTTCTATTAAAAAGAAAAAGAGAGAGACACACAGACACAAATTTAGATACACACCAGAGCATGGGCCGACCTTCTGTGGCCTGTCACCACAAAAGGCCATGGTGGCATGCTGGTGAGCGGGCACCCTTCCTGACTGCCAGCTTCCACCAGTGTTTCTTTTCCCTGGCGCTGGGCAGTCTGTGACGTGCCGGGTACGACCTCCACTGAAGACTGGGCAGAGGAGGTGGGTCCTGAAGCTGCAAAGGATGAAATGGCCATGGCAGTGCAGAGTACGTGGCCACGTTGCCATGGGCAAGGAGACCCCACCTCAACCAGGGTTTCTGAGCAAGGGGCTCAGCTAGGAAATACCTCCTTGTCCATGTAGGTCTCGCCCAAGGCCACGTTCGCCCGTCGTCTTGTGCTCAGCCTGCAGGACACTTGTCCATCGTTGTTCGGACAGCCGTTGGCACCCATCATAGGCCAAGGGCCATCAGCCCTGGCCAGGCTCATCCATGGAGTCGTGCTCATGGCGCTTCCCTCTCATTGCAGTCGCTCCTAAGGGCCCCAAGATCACCATGACCCCGACGAGGGCCCGCGTCGGGGACACCGTGCGCATCCTGGTGCAGGGCTTCCAGGTGAGGCGTCTCCGCGGGCCGCGTGGGCCGGGGGCTAGGCACAGCTCACAGCGCCGCTCTTGGGCTGCAGAACGAAGTGTTCCCTGAGCCGCTCTTCACCTGGACCCGCGTGGGCAGCCGGCTCCTGGACGGCAGCGCCGAGCACGACGGCAAAGAGCTGGTGCTGGAGCGTGTGCCGGCCGAGCTCCAGGGCTCCATGTACCGCTGCACGGCGCAGAACCCACTCGGCTCCACGGACACCCACACCCGGCTCATCGTGTTCGGTAGGACCTTGGTGCCGTGGTGGGACCCCAGGCCTCCAGGAGACCTCAATGTACCTGGAAGCAAGAGGAGCCACCTGGCCGGACTCTCCACTAACCCCTGCTTTTGCCTTTTGTCTCTCATTAGAAAATCCCAACATTCCCAGAGGAACAGAGGACTCGGATGGTGAGTGCAATGGACAGAAACCACCCTGGTCCATCCCCACAAACACCGCCTCATGCAGAGTCCCATGGGGACACCCTGCGTGGAGCTCTATGGGGACAACCTCCCGGGAAGCCCCATGGGGACCCCGTCCCGGCGGCTCCTCCAAGCCCTTGGCCCTCTCTCCTCTCGCCCAGGTTCGGTCTCCAGCCGCTGCAGCTTCCGGCTCGCTTTGGCGCTCACCTTGACAGTCATCCTGGAGCTAACGTGAAGTTTTGCCTTCCTCCTCCTCCTCCTCCTCTTGCTCCGCGTGGGTCCAGCCAGCATTCACGCTCCGACAGTCGGTTCTCTCTCTTTTTTTTCTCTCTTGTTTTCTTTTTTTTTTCTATAATATTTACAGACTCGGGCTCTTTCTGTCTGTGTCTTGGCTTCCGCAGCCAATTTAATTAAAAGGAAAAAGAAAATTCCCTTTCCTCCCCTTCCCCTCGCAGCCTGCACTTAATATTTTGCCTCACGCACATACGTTTTCCCCGGGGGTTGCACGTGGGCTCGTGGCACCCACCCAAGCATCTTGTACCCGTTAAACCAGCACGTTGGCACCGGTGATCTTTACCCCAGCAGCAACCGGGCCGGAGCCCTTGGCAGAGTCCCCAGAAAGGGGTAATAAAGGCGGAGCGGCCGGGCCGCATCCTGCTTGGAACCGCTCCCACGGCGCCACGAGGCAACTCCAGCCAGGAAGGGCGCTCCCAGCTCCGCATGCACCGGCCTCCTGCGGATGGGAGGATTTTACAGCGTTTTTCAGGAGCAGGGCAGCATGTGGCTGGGGACGGGTCCCTGTGCACAGCTTGGGGGGGACATCCATCCCCAAGGATGGAGCTGGCGCTCGCCGTCCTTCCCAGGAGCCGCATGGAGCCACCGCTCTGCAGCTGCGAGGCAGCCCCCATGCAAAACCCACAGGAAAAAATAAGAAAGAGCATTTTCCTATGGCTCCGGCTGCATTTGAAAGACAAAAAGGGTGCTCCCACGTGCTCACGGCCCTACAAGAGGTGCTGGGCCAAACCAGAGTGCAGAAACCCTGGAAAACAGAGCCAAGGCTGGGCCGAGCGGCAACGGGAGCAGTGCAGTGCTGTGATCCCGCCGGCACAATCCCGGCTCCTGGGAGAGGGATGAGGGTGGCGGGGCCTTCCCTGCCCTGCTTTATCCTGCGTGGCACAAGGGGAGCTGCTTTAGCAGCGCCAGGGAGCCCGTGGATGCCTCCCGCAGCGGGAGCAAGTGAGCAGGGAAATAAGGCCCTGCAAGGCAGGAACTTGGCACCGAGACTTGAGGGAAAGGGGAAGCACCTAAAAGATATCAAATGTCACAGCTTTGGAAAAATAAAGTGGCATTTCTAGATGTTTCACAGCCCTGCATGGTTCCCTGGGCTGGCTTGTACCACACTGCTGCCCCAGGCCCAAACCTTCTCTAAAACCAGTGTTTCACCTGGGCCAGCAGTGCCCCGGGTTGCACTGGCTGAGCCCTTTTAAGCAGCCAGAGGACGCGGGGGCAGGTGCTATCTCAGCTCGCTCTGGCTCTTGTGCTTGCTCGTGTCCTCCTGTTTCCCTGTCGGATAAAGGCGGCTCTGTGTGCCTGGCTGCCCGCGGCGCCGTGTCGCCCGTCCCACCTTGCTCAAATATGCAAAGCTCCGCTGGCCGCGGCCGGGCTGGCCGCCGCAAAGGCACCTGCCCG